CCCCCCCCCCCAAAAAAAAAAAAAAAAAATTACAATGTTGAAGTCTGATTTTTGCCCTGCACGTGCAAGTGAACAACATTGATCAATTCATTTGTTGAGTGAGGGGAGGGGTCATAGAAGGATAAGTGTCCTGTGGGTAAGAAAGTACAAAACATATTTTGTTCAAGATTCTATAGCCACATAAGCAATTTTAAAAATAATCACTGAGGGAATTTTCAGTTGAAAGGCATTATTGAATGAAACAATAAACACCTCCAGCTCTCATATGAAAGTAGACAAAATAAATTGCATCCTGATTGATGATGGTCTTCTTAACTTAAAAGATTTAGAGATACTCACATCAGTAGTCAGCGACTTCAAATAGCCACAAACGTTTTGTCAGATGAACTGGCATTGCTTGAATACTATACACTGAATCCTTGATTCAGCTTGGCCATCAAAACACAGGTATTTTTACAGAAGTCTTTATAACTGTTCATAAAAAAAGTATTTAACTTCATTAGTTAAGTAGTTTTTATATTCAGGTAGGTGACAGATAAAAAGTAGCTAATTACACTTTTGCAAAAATTTGAAATCAAAATCTGAAATAAAGAACACATCAGATGTGCCTGTTACAGTCTAAAAAGGAAAAGAAAAAGTCCTCAACTGTAACAAATACTGTACTGTTACTGTTAGGTGAAAAGGTGTTCAAGGATTAAGTTTTAAAATCATGAGGGTGTGCATCCAAAACAATGAATTAGTTTATTAAATTACTGGGTTATTAAAAATTCGCCCCACGTAAGGGAGTCTTTTTGCCTTTTGAATCCGGAATCCAGGAACATTTTGCTTGTGGAATCCGGAATCCTTGGCCTTAGAATCCCGAAAATACAGCTCAAGAAATACGGAATCCCACTAACGATTGGAATCCAGAATCTAAGTTTCCACTGACAAAGGCTGGAATCCAGTACCTGGAATCCGGAATCTACCGCCTGGAATCCAGAATCCAAGACCCTCTTCGATTCCATTATATGAGGTGAAAAAACGTAGATTTGTTGGGTAACAAGTACTCCATCAACAGAGTTTCAACAGCCTATATAGCTGTGCCAAAAGTGTTAAAATTCTGCGCTTAGTTCCTCCAAAATTAATTCTGCTTAAATTTTAATCCTTGATTATTTTAGTCCAAATTTTGTGATTATTCAATATTATGCCTTTAATACTCGCTCCGAGATGGAGCTATAAAAACACTAAACAACATGTAGGACAGTAAATACAAAAAAGGAATTGTCTTTCAATCCTGTATTATGGATCTAAACTGGAAGTGTTCATTACAAGAACTTTAATGCTGCTTTGTTGTTGTTTAAAACGTTAATAGCTCAACTTCAAATGAATGCACGGACTGTTTAGCAAAAAAAGAAAAAGAAGAAGAAGAAGAAGAAGATGGGGAGAAGAAACTGTAAAACCTCACAAGCATTGACACCCTTCTACCAAAGAGTGAAAAAGTATAAAGAGAACCCATTTATCGAAAGGAAAGGACAGCACTTACCTTTTCAGCCACTTGTCTCTGATTATTAAAATGAAATCTTCATCGAAAAAAGGATTACAAATCGATGTAGGGAGAAATAAAAGTCTTGTTCTTCTGCTCTGTTCAGCTTCTACACGTCATCTCATTAAACGAATGAAGAGAGTTTTGGAAGCCACGTTAAGAAATTCGCGACAAAACCGTACAAACACCGGTGCTAGGATCAAGTCTTTCATCGTCACGTCCGAGTGCGGAAATCTTGGTTTCTGAACGTTCGGATCGATCTGCTCTTTCAGATTTTAATGTACATCTGCTGACTTCTTTTAACCGGTTAAGTTAATGAACAATAGAGACCTTTAGCATCAGGTAAACCGCAAACCGCAAACCACAAACCGCAGTTACGCGTTTGCAGTTTCGAGTTGCCGAGATTTCACACTTTAGCAAGGCGTTCAGTTCAGTTCAGTTCATTTTTATTTAGGCAAAATATAATACAATACAAGAATACATATAGGAATTGTAAGGATGCAAGGGAGCCCAGAAGAAACCAGAAGGCTTTATGAAGCCTGGGCTCCCCGGCAGCACTAAAACACGGAATCCGGAATCCGGAAACGGAAACGGAATCACGGAAACGGACACGGAAACGGAATACGGAATCTGTGAAAGAAGGTTCCAAGCGATCGATTTGAAAAAAATAATATTAGCAATGACAATGAAATAAATAAACAGATAAAAAAAAAGGCACAAATGAATAAATTAGCTGAGTACAGGAGAGGAGACTGCTGTGTCACTAGAGGAGTCGATTCCGGTGAAAAGACGCTTGATACCACTGTCGGCAATGAATGCAAATTCTCATGGGACAGCAAAGCGAGGAGAAAAACGTGACTGACAAAAACTAGTGCCTTAACAAAAAGGTAAGTTATATGGAGACAGACTTCGTTTGAATCGTCTGAGGCGTCGTTTACATAACTGAAAGGCGTCGCCGTCAAGTTTTTCTCAGTGTCTTTTCTGGGTTGTCTTCAACAGTTTTCAGTTTTATTTATCAAGACAACTTACTCAAGAGAACCATGGCATTGTGGAGTCCACAGAGAAGAGAGAATTGTGCATGCATTTGCTTGATTCCGCAACCCGGATTACATCAAAATAATGCGCCATGTTTAATAAGCCTCTTCAACAAAAATACGGACGTCCACGTAAACTCAATTACCGGTACACCAGTATGCCATCAGTATTCAGCTTGGCGAAAAAGTTGAACTTCTTGCTAAAACACCGGAACTGTGGTCACGTCACCGGTCGGTCATGTGTGGAGTATTCAGTTTGGGGACAATCACGTGGTGTGGTCTGAGGCTAACTTCGACTATTCTTGACAATTAGCTACAAAAGTAATATTTAACTGTATTATTCAACCCATGAACTCGTGAATAAAAATTACTCGTAAAATTACTTTCATGGGCCTTGCAGTGCAGTAACCCACACTACGGCAAACCTTATCAAGACACAATAACAAGAATATATTTAAGGGAACTGCCAAGAAAACTAAGACAAATTCTCTTTGGATTGTACTAAATTGTGTATTGTGAAATTCTTTAATTTTCTATCATCGATATCTGATTCCGTATTCTGTTTCCGTTTCCGTTTCCGTGATTCCGTTTCCGTTTCCGGATTCCGGATTCCATGTTTTAGTGCTGCCCGGGCTCCCCAGTCTAAAAGAGATAAGCAAAATAAAATGATATTCGCGGAGTGATACGTTAAAAATAGGAACTAAACAGAGACTGAGTTAAGATATGAATTCAGTAACAAGATAGAAAAAAAAAATTAACACTGGATTGGAACAGAATACTTTCCTTTGTTAGTACGGCAGAAACGAATATAAAATTGATTTGAACTACGCGTTCATTGTTTAGGGCCGCCATGTTGTTTTCATCAAGTCGAAGTGCATCACTTTAATCGCCCAAAACTCAGCAATAATTCATTGATTCGAGATCAAACATCAAACAAACACATCGCAAACGGATATAAAAAGCTAGTTCATACCTTTAAACGCGAGGCTGTACAATTTTTTGTGGCAAAAAACCTTGCCGTAAATCACTTACCGCTGGAAGCCTCTCCTGCGGTTCAAACGTGAACTGCAAACTGCAAACGTGACCGCAAGGCCGTGGTCACGTGACATTTTGCGGTTTGCGGTTTGCAGTTTCCCATGAAAAACGTGATGCTAAAGGTCCCTAATATGTGAGGGACAAGCATGAGTTCTGAACTGAGGTCAGAGTAAAAGAAAACTGCTTGAGCTTCCTCATCGCCTTTAGTTCGCAAGTGAAGATCAAAGTCACTCTCCGTTTATCGATATTTTTACCCACTGTTTTGCCTGTCGTTATACAGAAGCAGAAGCTCAATGCCGAATGAAAGAAAAAGAGCTAACTTAAACGGTGCAACAGCGACAACGATGACAACAGCAACAACAGTGACAACAGAGACAACGGTGACAGTGGTGACAAGGGTGACAACCGCGACAACAAAACAACGATGACAACAGTGACAATAATGAAAACAGTGACAACCGTGACAACAGTGACAACGGTGACAATAGCGACCGTAGCGACAACCGTAGTAATGGCGACAACGGTCACAACAGTGACAACAGTGACCACGGTGACAACGGTGACAACACTGACAACAGTGACAACACTAACAAGAGTGACAACAGTGACAACAGTGAAAACATAAAAAAAACGACAAAAATGACAACAGTGAAAACACCGAACACAGTGACAACAGCGACAACAGAGACAACACTGAACACAGTGACCACATTGACAACCGTGACAACAGTGATTACCGTGACAACAGCCACAACAGTGACAACGGTGACAATGGCAATACTAGCGACAAGAGCAACAACAGCGACAACAGCGCCGATAGAAACAACAATAACACCACTCGAAACAACGACAATAGTTACAACAGTGACAGCGAAAAAAGTGAAAAAAAGTGACAACATTGACAACAGCGACAACAGTGACAAAAGCTACAACAGTAAGAACAGCGACAACTGCGATAAGAGTGACAACACGGACAAAATGCCCACCGTGATAAAAGCGACAACAGTGACAACAGCGAATATAGGGACAACTCTGACACCACTCCCAACAGACAGAACAGTGACAACACCGACAACGGTGAAAACAATGAAAGCAGCGATACCAGCGAAGACAGTTACAACAGCAACAACCGTGATCATCCTGACGACAGCAAAAAACAGTGACAACAAAGACAGCAGTGACAAAGGTAATAACAGTGACAATGGTGACAACAGTCACAAGGGTGACAACAGCGACAATGGTGACAACAGTGATAACAGTGAAAACGGTTACAATGATGACAAGAGTGAAAACGGTGACAAAAAAGACAATGATGACAAAAGTGACAACAGTAACAACAGCGACAACACTAAAAAACCTGACAACAGCGACAACCGTGAGAATAGTAAGAACGGTGACAACCCTGACAACAGTGACAACAATGACAACAGTGACAACACTGACAACACTGACAACACTGACAACGGTGACAACAGTGACAACGACGACAACAGTGACAACAGTAACAACAGTAACAACAGCGACAACACTTAAAACACTGACAACAGCGACAAAGGTGAGAACAGTAAGAACGGTGACAACAGTGACAACAGTGAAAACGGTGACAACAGTAACAACGGTAAGGACAGCTTTAACACTGACAACACCGACAATGGTGACAACAATGATAACCGTAACAACGGTGACAAGAGAGACAACAGTGACAACAGTGACAACAGTGACAAAAGGGACAACAATGACAACAGTGACAACGGTAGCAAGAGTTAGAATGGTGACAACAGTGACAAAAGTGACAACGGTGAGAAAAGTGACAACAGCGAAAAACACTGAAAACAATGACAACCATGACAATGGTGACAAAGATGAGAAGAGCAACAACACTGCCACCAGTAACAACAGTGACAACGGTGACAACAGTGACACTGGTGACAACGGTGACAACGTTGACAACGGTGACAACGGTAACAATGGTGACAACAGTGACAGTGTTGAAAAAGGTTACTACAGTGACAACAGTTACAACGGTGACAACGGTGACAACGGTGAGAACAGTGACAACCGTGACAACGGTGACAATGGTAACAACAGTGACAAAAGAGACAACGGTGACAACGGCGACAACAGCGAAAACGGTGACAACGGTGACAATGGTGAATACGGTGACAACAGTGAAAATGGTGACAACAGTGACAACGGTGACAATGGTGACAACAGTGACACTGGTGACAACGGTGACAACGTTGACAACGGTAACAACGGTGACAACAGTGACGGAGTTGACAACGGTTACTACAGTGACAACAGTTACAACGGTGAAAACGGTGACAACGGTGACAATGGTGACAACAGTAAAAACGGTAACAAAAGGGACAACGGTGACAACAGCGACAACAGTGAAAACGGTGCCAACGGTGACAATGGTGACAATGGTGACAACAGTGACAACAGTGACAACGGTGACAACGATGACAACAGTGACAACAGTGACAACGGTGACAACGGTGACTACAGTGACAACAGTGAAAAGGTAACAACGGTGACATTAGTGACAGCGGTGTATATGGTGACAACGATGACAACGGTGACAACAGGTGAGAACGGTGACAATGCTAAAAAAAGGGACAACGGTTAAAACGGTGAAAACAGTGACAACGGTGACAACAGTTCCAAAGCTGACACGTTGACAACAGTGACAACAGTGACAACGGTGACAACGGTGACACTTGTGACAACTATGACAACACTGACAACACTGACAATGTTGACAACAGCGACAACGGTGACAACAGTGGCATCAAGGACAACAGTGACGAAAGTGACAACGGTGACAAAGGTGAAACCAATAACAACGGTTACAACGGTAACAACCATAACAACAGTGACAACAATGACAACAATGACATTGGTAACAACGGTGACTACAGTGACAACAGTGACAACTGTGACAACAGTGACAACAGTGACAACGGTGACAAAAATGACAACAGTGACAACAGTGACAACTACGACAACGGTGACAACAGTGACAACGGTGACATCGGTGACAACAATGACAACAGTGACATCGGTGACAACCGTGACAACAGTGACAAGGGTGACAACAGTGACAACGGTGACAACGGTGACAACGGTGACAGTAGTGACATCAATGACAACAGTGAAAGCGTTGACAACGGTGACAACAGTGACAACAGTGACAACGGTGACGACGGTGACAATAATGACAACGGTGACAACAATGAAAACGGTGACAACGGTAACAACGGTAAAAACAGTGACAACGGTGTCAATGGTGAGATCGGTGACAACAGTGACAACAGGTGAGAACAGTGACAATGGGTTAGAACGATAACAATGCTTACAACAGTAACAACGGTTAAAACGGTGACAGCAGTGACAACGGTGACAACAGTTACAACGGTGACAACGGTGACGACAGTGACAACAGTGACAACGCTGACAACGGTGACAACGGTGACAACAGTGACAACAGTGACAATGGTGACAACGATGACAACGGTGAAAACGGTAACAACGGTGAAAACAGTGACAACGGTGTCAATGGTGACGACGGTGACAACGGTGACAACGATGACAACAGCGACAACTGTGACAGCAATGACAATGGTGACAACTGTGACACTCGTCACAACGGTGACAGCAGTGACAACAGTGACAACGGTGACAACAATGACAACGGTGAGAACGGTGACAATAGTGACAACAGTGAAACACTCACAACGGTGACAACGGTGAGAACAGTGACAACAGTGACAAGGGTGACAATAGTGACAACGGTGACAACAATGACAACGGTAACAACAGAGACAACCGTGACAACAGTGACAACGGTGTCAACAAAGACAACAGTGAAAAAAGCGACAACGGTGACAACAGTGACATTAGGGACTACGGGGACAACACTGACATCGGTTACAAGAGTAACAACAGTGAATGACGGTAAGAACAGTGACAACAATGACAACGGTGAGAACGGTGAGAACGGTGACAGCAGTGACAACAGTGACAACGGTGACAACTATGACAACGGTGACAACGATGACAACCGTGACAACAGTGACAACAGGGAGAGCAGTTACAACAGTACTAGTAACAACAGTGACAACGGTGAAAACAGTGAGAACAGTGACAACGGTGACAACGGTGACAACGGTGACAACCGTGACAACAGTGACAACAGTGAACGGTGACAACAGTGACAACAGTGAAAACGGTGACAACAGGGACAACAGTGACAACAGTAACAACGGTGACAACAGTGACAAGTGTGACAACGGTGACAACAATGACTACGGTGATAACGGTGACAACAGTGACAATAGTGACAACAGTGACGACAGTGAAAACAGTGACAACGGTGACAAGAGTGACAACCGTGAAAACTGTGACAACACTGACAACCGTGACAACGGGGCAACAGTGACAACAGCAACAACGGTGACAACAGTGACATTAGGGACAACGATGACAACAGGTACAATGGTGACAACAGTAAGAACGGTGACAACAGTGACAACAGTGACAACAGTGAAAACTGTGACAACAGTGACATCAGTAACAAGGGGGACAACGGTGACAACGGTGACAACAGTGACAACGGTGACAACCGTGACAACGGTGACAACGGTGACAACGGTGACAACGGTGACAAACGCGATAACGGCGACAACAGTGACATAAGGGACAACGGTGACAACAGTGACAATGGTTAAAAGAGTGAGAACAGTGACAACGGTGACATCAGTGACAACAGTGACAACGGTTACAACAGTGACAACAGTTACAACGGTGATAACAGTGACAACGGTTAAAAGAGTGACAACAGTGACAACGGTTGCAAGACTGACAACAGTGACAACAGTGACAACAGTGACAACAATGATAACGGTGGCAACCGTGACAACAGTGACAACGGTGACAACGGTGACGGCAGTGACAACAGTGACAACGGATGACAACGGTGACAGCAGTGACAACAGTACTAGTAACCGTGACAACAATGACAATGGTGACAAAAACGACAACAGGGACAATAGTGACAGCAGTGACAACAGTACTAGTGACAAAAGTGACAACGGTGGCAACGGTGACAACGGTGACAGCGGTGATAACAGCGACAACGGTGACTTTAGTAATATAAGGGACAATGGTGACAACAGTTACAACGGTGATAACAGTGACAACGGTTAAAAGAGTGACAACAGTGACAACGGTGACAGCGGTGACAATGGTGACAACAGTTACAACAGCGACAACAGTGACAATAGTGACAACAGTAAAAATGGTGACAATGGTGAGAACCGTGACAACAGTGACAACAGTGACAATGGTGACAACGGTGACAGGAGTGACAAGAGTGACAACGATGATAACGGTGACAACAATGACAACAGTAAAATTGGTGACAACAGTGACAACGGTGACAACGGTGACAACAGTGACAACGGTGACAACGGTGACAACAGTGACAACGGTGACAACGGTGACATTGGTGAGAGCAATGACAACGGTGACAACCATGACAATTGTGACAACGGTGACTGCAGTGACAACAGTGACAATGGTGACAACAGTGACAACGGTGACAATAGTGACAACAGTGACAACGGTGACAACAGGGACAACGGTGACAACAGTGACAACGGTGACAAAAGTGACAAGTGTGACAACGGTGACACCAATGACTACGGTGATAACGGTGACAACAGTGACAATAGTGACAACAGTGACAGCAGTGACAACAGTGCTAATGACAACGGTGACAACGGGGACAATGGTGACAACGGTGAAAACAGTGACAACGGTGACAAGGGTGACAACCGTGAAAACCGTGACAACAGTGACAACCGTGACAATGGGGCAACAGTGACAACAGCGACAACGGTGACAGCAGTGACATTAGGGACAAAGATGACAACAGGTACAACGGTGACAACAGTAAGAACGGTTAAAAGAGTGATAACAGTGACAACGGTGACAACAGTGACAACGGTGACAACAGTGACAACAATGACAACGGTGACAACTGTGACAATAGTGACAACGGTGACAGCAGTGACAAAAGTACTATTGACAATGGTGATAACAGTGACAATGGTGACATCAGTGACAACAGTGACAACGGTGACAACGGTGATAACAGTGACAACGGTGACAACCGTGACAACGGTGACATCGGTGAGAAGGGTGACAACGGTGACAAACGCGATAACGGTGACAACAGTGACATAAGGGACAACGGTGAAAACAGTGACAATGGTTAAAAGAGTGACAACAGTGACAACGTTGACATCAGTGACAACAGTGACAACGGTGACAACAGTGACAACAGTGACAACAGTGACAACTGTGACAACAGTGACAACAGTGACAACGGTGACAACAGTGACAACAGTGACAACGGTGACAAGAGTGACAACCGTGAAAACTGTGAAAACACTGACAACCGTGACAACGGGGAAACAGTGACAAGAGCAACAACGGTGACAACAGTGACATTAGGGACAACGATGACAACAGGTACAATGGTGACAACAGTAAGAACGGTGACAACAGTGACAACAGTGACAACAGTGAAAACTGTGACAACAGTGACATCAGTAACAAGGGGGACAACGGTGACAACGGTGACAACAGTGACAACGGTGACAACCGTGACAACGGTGACAACGGTGACAACGGTGACAACGGTGACAAACGCGATAACGGCGACAACAGTGACATAAGGGACAACGGTGACAACAGTGACAATGGTTAAAAGAGTGAGAACAGTGACAACGGTGACATCAGTGACAACAGTGACAACGGTTACAACAGTGACAACAGTTACAACGGTGATAACAGTGACAACGGTTAAAAGAGTGACAACAGTGACAACGGTTGCAAGACTGACAACAGTGACAACAGTGACAACAGTGACAACAATGATAACGGTGGCAACCGTGACAACAGTGACAACGGTGACAACGGTGACGGCAGTGACAACAGTGACAACGGATGACAACGGTGACAGCAGTGACAACAGTACTAGTAACCGTGACAACAATG